ACTCTCTGGGGGGGTCCCCAGGCTGTGGTTTAGGGGCACAGGGGTCTCTTTAGGGGGCAGTGACCCTGCAGAACAGAGGGGGGAATCCCCAGGCCTGGGTTTAGGGGTGCAGAGATGGCTGTGAGAAGCAGTGAGCCCGGGCCGGGGGGTGAAGGGGTGGTCCTCAGGCAGCGGTTATGGGGTGCAAAGGTCTCACATTTTTGGCTTGTAGAGGGCAATCCCTGGGGTATGGCTTTAGGGGTGTACTAAACTCTGTGGGGATGCAATGCTTGCATTAGCTGTGATCCCATGGGGACAGGCAGCAAGTGCAGGAGGAGCCATGATCTTAGCTGGGACAGCAGGTGCCAAAGGGTGGCAGCTCCAGGGGTGCAGGCAAGGAAATACGGGGGTTGGTAGGTAGTGGTTGTTGGTGAACCTGGCTTGCTGCCCTCTCTTGCCACCAGCCTTCCGCTGCTAAGTGGTAAAAAGTCTTTTGCCTGTATTTCAGCAGCTGTGGTACCAGTTGTGTTCTGCTTGCTTTTGTTCCCCCTTTAGTGCGGATGTGTCAAAGCAGATGCAGCTTATGGAGGTGCTGAAGAAGGAGGTGAGATCGCTGCTAATGGCTGCCAAAGAGGGGTTGACCCCAGGACAGCTAGAGCAGGAGTACATGGCCATGATCGGCAAACCTCTCCCTCTACATGACCTGGGCTTCAAATCCACCTTGGAGCTAGTGGCAGATATGCCAGAAGTTGTCAGAGTCTGTCCTTATGAGAAAGGCACTTTTATCCTCAAAGGTGAGATTTTGTGTCCTTAAAGGTGGAGGAGTTGTTTGGAACCATGTACTGGTATGAAGTGATGCTCCAAAATGGGGATGTGCAGGATGACACATGTTCCCAGAGCTGTAGGTCACATATCTCTGTTATTCTTTTTCTTATGTAGCTCTGTTTAATGTCTTGTCTTTGATATTTATTCCTGTATTTTGATCTGCCTTCTAATGCTTTACTGCTCTTTTCTCCTGAAAAATTACACAAGCTTCTACTTATTTTTGTATATTTTGCATTCTGCACTTAGTTTAGAAACTGCAGTAACATTTCTTACGGGTACGCTAGAGCTGGTAAGCTTTGCTTTTCCTGTAAATGCAGACTACAGCAGAAGCCAAAACCAGAGATGGGGCCTTAGGAGAAACTCTAAATGTTTCCCTACCTGACCCCATGGTAAGTTTAGTCTGTATCAAAGAACCTTTTTAATTTTCTTTTTCTTTTGGGAAGAGCTGAGGAAACAAATGGTAGATGCAAAGAGTTGATTGGGAAGGGTGAAATCTTTTTTTTTTTTTTTTTTTGAGTGCTACAGTAAGACAAGAAAAAGTTGTTTAAAAGCATGGAAAAGACTTGGGCTGCTCTCCAGAGAGGCCTTGTCTGGGTGGGTGGGTGCTCCATAGTGGGGGTTTACTGTGATTCTGGACGAGGGGAGTAATGAGCCATTTACTGTTTTCTCAACAAAACCCGCTGCAGCTGGGTTTCCCGTTGTGATCCTGTATCCAAGAATTTGACCTGCCTTCCTACCTGCATCTGAATTTATAGGGATGAGGGTGCAGACTGGTTGTTAAATATGGTTCAGGCCAGTTTGCAAGGGGAAAAGTGGTTGCCCTGCTGGAAATCAGCCATGATTTAGTGTGATTGCTTTTGAAAGAGATACCTGCTTCTGAAAAGGGTAGGGGGGAAAAGGAAAGAAAGGAAATGAGAGCTTTGCCTGTGTAGACCTTTTAATGGTTTTCTGTTTTGGTAGTCTAATAGTTTATTTCTTTCTGTTGTAGGCATTGCAGATGAGACCACCAAAGCAATTGCCGAACTGGTTGCCAGACAGAGGAGAAATGCTAGGGCACGGAAGAGCACTGCTGCAAAGGCAAATGCAAATGCTGGTTCGTCCTCTAAGAATCCACAGAGTTTCCCTCAGAGGGTCAGGGCTCCTGTCCTGCCAGCGACCGCGAAGGCTGAGCTGCAGGATCTGCTGAGTTCCTCACCACTTCTGCTCTTGGACTTTGATAAGGCTTTCTTTAGACGCTTTGGCCGGGCGTTCCAGTACACGCAGTACGGATTTTTCTCCATGTTTGAAGTCCTCAGAAGCGTGTCTGATATCATTGTGGTGGAGCAGACAAGAGGAGGTTCCTTGCTGACCCTGAAGAAGTGCCTAACAAGTAAGATAGAGAAGGAAGAGATGCCGCAAGGTGAGGCACAGGAAGAGATGCTGCAAGGTGAGGTGGTGTGTTATTTGGTATTGGCGCTGTGGCCAAGCAACTGTGTTTCAAGTGGATGTTGCTGTATTTCTAGTTGCTGTAGTAGTCCTGGTTCCCTTAGGTTTTAGCACAGAAGGGCTGTGGGGGGCTGCAGCAGCAGCTGTCACAAGGTAGTTGTCTTGCTAGCAGAGAGCTTAACTGGAAGTTTTCTACAAGTTGCCACTGTTTTTTGGTGTGAGGTGAAAGAAGGGATGTTTAGCCCGTTCAGACTACAGACTTTCTGAATGTGTGCGCAGGACTGGAATTTTTAGTCATTCCAGGCAATAGATGAAACTAGAAGGATCTCCTGAACGTCTGCTCCACAGGCTGGTAAAGCCTTTCTGATGCGCTTTTTTGAGTAGCACTAGAGTGAAAGACATAGCTACAATGTTCCACAAAAGAGAACAGAAGAGACTGCAGATGCCCTCAGCGTTCCCCCAACAGCTATGAGAGAAGGCAGAAAATCACATGCAGTTCCTACCAAATTCCTGACTTTTCTGGGGGAAATGTTTTAGCGTCATCCTAGCAATTGATTTAACCATTAGCATGCTTACAAGAGCAAGTGTTTTTTGGTCTGTTTTAATTTATTAACACAGTGAAAGATGCCTCTCAAGTGAATCCTCATGTCTGTGGTGGCTGTGAGTGCTACAAGAGATGAGGAACACAGCACCAGTGCTTTCAGACTTCCCTTTTCAGTTGTCTTTCTGCTTAATATGTAACACTGCATCAGTACAACAAAGAGTAACAGTCAAATCATCATCTTTGCAGCAGCACCTGCAGTCGAGATGCCTCCTTTGGAATCCAGCTGTGAGACAGAGAGCATCCACCTGACAGCAGAAGAGAAGCCAATGGAAATGCAAGCAGTAGATTTGAGTGATGGCCTCAAACAAGTAAGTGGCTGGACAAGCAGTCTGTAGCTTTTTTATGTCTTAATCCAGGAGGTGATACTCTTTACTGCTTTTGTTGTTGAGTTTGTGTGGATGATGCACTGTTGCTTCTAAAAATTTTTGTACCTGTTTTAGATGAGCCTGGAGGTGACCATACTCTACTGATCTGGTATGTAGCTTCATGTACTATCCAAACTAGGTCTTTTTCTTGTCTCTTTGTGGTCTTGAGATCTGTTTTCCAGATCACCTGAGGTCAGTTAAGCATGATCCTGCTCCCTGATAATAGTGGTGATACCTATAGGTGTACTTACTTGTAAGTGGACTTTAATAACTTTGTTCTGAGACTAGCTGTGGGGAATTTCCCCTGCTGTAGTAGCTGCTCAACACTTAAGCCCTGCCTATGTGACAAAGCTGGAGAATGGTCCTCAGACACCTTGATTCCTGCAGTCTCCACTCTGCTATTTGGTTGGACTTTGTAAATTTTGGGGGTTTTTTCCTTGTTTGTTTTGGGGTTTTTTTGTTTAACAATGTATTTTTAGAAAGGGATGGAGAAGAACAGTAGAGAGGCTCTGAATTGCCAAACTTGATTGAGAGAATTTGTTTATGTCCCTTCTCTTTTTTTCTTTTGAGCATCTTTAGGCCTTTCTTTTCTCAGGAAAATCCTCCTACTGAGAGTTATTTCCTCTGCTAAGCTCATCTTGTAGCTGTACGCAACTGTACAGTTGGAGCACTTAGGCAGGGAAGAGGTCCCAGGAATTCTTCCTGAATTTGGTGGTTTGTGCACTAATGAATTTGGAAGCCTGGAACTACAAATTGGATTTTGTGCAGCATTTCATAAAACATACTCTTTAGAGATTTTTGGCAGGCTGTTCTGCTCCTTTAAAGAATTTTTAATTTGGTGTGATGAAGTCCCCTAGATCAAAGTCTGCTTGTGGCAAGGGTAAAAAAGGAGAGATATGGTCCAGGTAGCCCCAGATTTCTGTTCTTATGTATCAAAAAAGGAACCTGTTTAAAGATCCTAGCAGAATAAGTCTTGGAATATGTTTGTACAACTAGTATTTGTCATGAAACACCAAGTTTGCTTTTTTTTTTTTTTTTAAAATGCCCTAAGGAGGAGGAAAGCAAGTTGAAATGTGTTTGGGTATGTGATGAACACTTGTTCATTGGGATGCTGCAAGGTGGAGGGGGAAGATGCAACCTGATCCCCCCCTCTCCTGCTGCAAGGTATCCAAGTATCCAGTCACTAGAGACTAATAGTGGGAGTGTTGTAAGGGACAAGGGCCCTGAGAAGGGTAAAGCATATAGAGCTGCTGCTCTCAGCAGCTTTTTCTCATCACCCTGAGCAGAAGGAAAGATGTCATCCACACCACTCTTGGCAGCTGCCAGTCCAGCTTAGGGCAAGGAGTTAGCCAGTCTTGCAAGCTCTATCTCTTGTAAGCCTAGTTTTACAGTGTGTTCTGTTGGTTTATCTTTTTATAATTTTGTTGCTTTTTTGTAAATGTGTTTTTAAGTACATGTCTTCTATGTCTTTCAGAGAAATGTCTGTAATAGCTACTGATATGTGAGCTAGATTAAGGGCACACATAATCTTTATAGTCTGATATGAAGAGTATTCTCTGCGCAAAACTGTCCCTTAGATGTCATCCACACCACTCTTGGCAGCTGCCAGTCCAGCTTAGGGCAAGGAGTTAGCCAGTCTTGCAAGCTCTATCTCTTGTAAGCCTAGTTTTACAGTGTGTTCTGTTGGTTTATCTTTTTATAATTTTGTTGCTTTTTTGTAAATGTGTTTTTAAGTACATGTCTTCTATGTCTTTCAGAGAAATGTCTGTCTGCGCAAAATTGTCCCTTAGAAATGCCACTATTCACAGGCATTTCTTAGAGGAAATCCAGGAAATGTAAGGGTTTTTTAGACATGCTGCTGCTCAGACAAGAACACCCTCAGTTGCCCGTTAACTCACTGTTAAACTCAATGTTTTAGCCAAAATTTTTAACTCAAAAAAATTCAAGGACATTAGTCCTTGCTCAGTCTGCAGAAGGAGAGAGGTTTATCTGCTTCTTTAAAAAATGGTTAAAAGAGCTAGTACTGCAAAACTCCATTGTTTGCAGTTGTATTTAGCCATGTAAACAATGGAGCGTGTGCTGGAAGACAAATTTCCCATACGTTGCCTGATGTATAATGCAGTGGTAACTTGTAGCATATTCATGATTTGTAAAATGGAAATAATTTTGACTTCTGATCATTGGAGGAATGCTGTTGGCACAAAAGAAAGCCCTTGAGGCAGTGAAAGTAGGTGATGTCTGATTAAGTTTCCAATCCCCACTAGGTCAAGTTAAATAATGTTTTCAGCTGTTAAAGAATAACACAAAATTGTAAGCTGTGCTAACAGCTCACTCATACAAATTTGCCTAGAGTGAGAAAAGAACAGAATTTGTAGGTTTTGTTTGTTTTTATCCTTGGGAAATAGCTCTAGTGTGAAAGTGAGATGCATTTGTGCTTTCTGTCACTTTTGAATCATTTTCAGATAGAGTTTTGCTGGTTCAGTCATGTACTGTGTCATGGTCATGGAACATAGAAATAGCATCTTTTGGGTAAAGTCCAACAAACAGGTGGGTTGTGTTTGGTTTGGGTTTTTTGGTGTGAGTCTTTGTTTTGTTCTGCTTTTTTAGCAATTACCATTCAATACTTTTGTCTAAATGTGACATGACTCCAATTCCTCTCCTTTTATTCCTTGGAGGAATATGAGCAAGGTATTTTTGTTGCACCCCTCTTTACACTGGAAGGAAGAAGGAAGGAAGGGGGAGAGAGAGACTGTGAGAATGAATGTTTCTGTCACAGGGAAAGCTTTAATCCAAGTTTGCAGAAGTTGCTGGGATTCTCTGATATTCAGTAATTCACAGGTCCCCAGGAAAGCAGAACTATTAATTTTTTTTACCTTAATGGAAAGGCCAGTGATGTGTAGTCAGTACATGACAAGATATCTGAGTACCACCTTCCTCTTATCCCTTTGTAGCCTCAAGATTTGGAGCAATCCCTGCTAGCCAAGTTGATAATGACTCCAGAAATCCCTCCAGATGCTGTTCAGGATAGAAGCCTTTGCAGTTTACCACCACTGGAGAGAAGGTGCTTGGTGGGAGTCTTTGTGGAATTCATCATCTCTCCTAGCCAGTTCTACATCCACATCTGCAGCAGTGAAACATCTGATAAACTGCAGGATATGATGATTGAGATGAGGTGCGAACATGCTATGCTGATTCACTACTACTACCCGTTGTGTGAGTGTGTGTTTGTGCTGAGGGAACAGGGCACCCAGCTGTTAGTTATGGTCACTGCTGGCTTGATTACTTGACACAGATGCTGGTGCTGTACTGAAACACATATTCATAATGCTTACCCATTCCTTTTAACTAACAAGCAGTAAGTATGGTTAATAGCAATTCACAGTAGTTTGGCCGTGTCCTAGATGGTCTTAAACTTTAAAAACCTGGTAAGATTATGGAAAGGAACTTCAGGGTTCCTTTGCACCTCTCTCTTGTCTGCGGTACTGTTGCTAATGTGCTCAGTTGAGGCTTTTACTTCCATCTCCAACACTTACCGAAAAGCAACACGTAGCAGGCCTTTGTCATATCTATATTTGAAAGCAAAACCCCATCAGTGGGGTTTGCTTGTCAGTTACATGATGCATCTGGGATTCTATTCCACACGACAGTGCTACAATTGCTGTTAATTGTGCGCCAAAGTAAATACTTGATGTCTGTGGGGCACGTGTAAGTGTGATTACAGACTCTGCAGACAGATAACTGTCTGTACTGTGTGAGCCAGTACTTCAGAATCTGGATCATAAGAAGCACTGACATATCAAGCTAATGGCAAAAATTAATGACTATAATGACCTCTGATTAATCTCCATTAATTAACTTCTTGTTGGACCCCAAGAATATCATTCAAATGTTAAAAGTTTGGGTTTGCATTTTTATTGTCGTTTCAATTTAAGTGTAGCAAAACAGATGTAAAGCATCTATTAAAACAACTCTTGAAAATTCGTGTCGTGGGGACTTTGAGAAATCGGGATTCTTCTGAAGCCCTATATATTTCTCTTTGTTCATCTTCTGCATTCTACCAAGCACAGTTTTTCATTATGATCTTTTGCAGACACTGTTACTCAAATAAACTTGTTTCTGATCGTTATATCATGCCTGAGTCTTCAGTACAGCCTGGACATCTTTGCTGTGTAACAGTCTCGAAATGGTGGTATCGCGTTATCATTCATCGTGTGATCAATGACCAAGAAGTAGAGGTGTTCTACCCAGATTATGGAAACCTCGAAATTGTCCAAAAGTCTTGTCTGAGATTCCTCAAGTAAGTAAATTACTCATGGGTGACAGAATCACAGAATGGTTGAGGTTGGAAGAGACCTCTGGAGGTCATCCTGTCCAACCTCCCTGCTCAAGCAGGGACATCCAGAGCAGGCTGCACAGGGCCAGGTCCAGACAGTTTTTGAACGTCTCCTGGGATGGAGACTCCATGACCTCTCTGGGCAGTTAACCTGTTCCGGTGCTTGGTCACCCTCATGGTAAAAATGCTGCTTTCCAACTGATCAGTCCCCTACATGTACTGGTGCATGGTGGTGTTCCTTCCGAAGTGCAGGACTTTGTTGAACTTCATGAACTGTCTGTCCACTTCTCTGGCCTGCCAACGTCCCTTGAATGGCAGCATGACCCTCTGGTGTATCAGCCACTCCTCCCAGTTTTGTATCATCAACAGGCTGGCTGAGAGTAGACTTTCCCCAATCATCCAGATAGTCAATGAAGATGTTGAACAATATTGGACCTAGTGTTGACCCCTGGGGTACATCACTAGGTCCTGGTCTCCAACTAGACTTTGTACCGCTGATAACCACTCTCTGGGCCTGGCCCTGGCCCTCCAGCCAGTTCTCAATCTACCTCACTGTCTGCTCATCCAATCCGTAGTTCGTTAGCTTCTCTATGAGGATCTTGCAGGACACAGTGTCCAAAGCCTGACAGAAGTGAAGGTAAACAATACCCACTGCTCTCCCCTCACCTACCAGGCCAGTCACTTCATTATAGAAGGTTGTCAAGTTGGTCAAGCATGACTTGGTGAATTCATGCTGACTACTCCCAGTCACCTTCTTGTCCTTCGTGTGCCTGGAAATGGTTCCCTGGATTAGTCGTTCCATCGCCTTCCCAGGGATCAAGGTGAGGTTGACCGGCCTGGCTTTCTTCAGAAAGACATCCCAGCATGCAGATTTCCTAGAAAGGATCTGGGATTTTATTCCATTAGTGGTGCCTTGCAGGAACTTCTTCGTTTGCAGGGTAATCCTTGAAGTGACGTTGTTTAAGACCTGTTTCACTGATCACTCTGGGCCCTTTGCTCATCAGTCCTGTCCATCACTCCCTCACAGTGACTTTGAGCTAAATCCTTTCCTGTTTC